CGATTAACCTTACCTCCACATATATTTCTTGATCTGCTATGTATAATTTGTCAGTAGGCTGTAGGAGTAATATGGTTTCCTCTGGTTTTCAAAACTAGCTAGGCATTATTTATCTCTCGCATTATCTAAAACTATGGTGGAGGGGTGAGACAATGTGAGAGTGTTTCCTAGTTTTAACAGCTCCAGTGTGGGGTATTTTCTCCTAGCAACAGTACTGTTAACTCTTTTTCCTTTTTGCATCAAAGGTTGAATCTGAGGGGCAGCTTTAGCTACTTTTATTTCTAGGTGGTTTCTGTTCTCAGTCTGTCTTTTCCCTGCATCCTTTGACTCCTGGTCCCCAACCTTATGCAAGTTAAAACCTCCCATTTTCTCATCTCTCTCATGCTCTGAGGCTGAGACTGAATTTGTCAGTAATTCCTTAGCCTTTTCAGCCTCAGCTGGGGCTGCCTTTGTTTCAGACAAATCTTTTATTATGCAAAGTGGCCACGCCTCCTCTCTGGGTTCCCCTCTTGCATTCAGGGCTTATAAAGCTTTTCCTAGGCTGTCTATGACCTTCAACAAATCTTCACATACAAGCAACTGAGCTATTTTCCTACATTTACAGGATGGCTGTGGCCCAGGGATTTTCCCCTTTGAGTCTGTCCATGTCTGCATGGCCCACGTCATTCTAGTTATGTATTCTGTGATCCATTGTATAACCGATATGAACGTTGCTAACCCCCTTGCTTTTCCTGAACTTCTGTGGTTTGTCATTTCCAGTGCCATGCTGCCAGACTGCACCAGTTGTTTCACTAAACTTTTCCCTTTTCCTTCCCTGGGCTACCTGAGCGCGCCCTCTGAGGACTTTAGGATCTCCTGGTTCTGACGGATTGACAAACCGACATAAGACATTTGGATTTTGCATAGTTTATATGACACTTGGGATGTGTGACTTACAAAAACACAGATTCTTATAGGCTTTCCCTTTTCCATATTTGAAATGCTTGCACCATCTGTCTCCTGCCCCTGGTCTCTCACTTGCTGTTCGTCCCTGCTCAACAGGGCTGCAGCTCCACACCTTTTTCCCAGTGTGCTCTGCTTCTCTCTGGGTATCTCGACCCACCCCCTCTTTTCCTCACAGGACGCGTGTGACTTACAAAAACACAGATTCTTATAGGCTTTCCCTTTTCCATATTTGAAATGCTTGCACCATCTGTCTCCTGCCCCTGGTCTCTCACTTGCTGTTCGTCCCTGCTCAACAGGGCTGCAGCTCCACACCTTTTTCCCAGTGTGCTCTGCTTCTCTCTGGGTATCTCGACCCACCCCCTCTTTTCCTCACAGGACGCATTTACCCAACAAGCAGTATGTGCTCTTAACCACTGACCCATCTCTCCAGCCCTTGAAGTATTTTAACTTTAATTAAGGAAAATCACCAGGGACCTTGCTTGTAGATTTTCTGTGATTTTGCAGATTGAGTTTGGTGGCACTGACTCCTGCCTCAGAGGATGACATCTGCTTATATTACTGGAAAAATAAGAAAACGGAGGTCTTATGTCTGAATAATTTTATATTGATCTAAATATGTTCCATAGTTTGAGAGTTATGTTTCTTTGTTAATTTTGTTTTCTTTTTTAGAATGGCAAAAATTTATAAAAGAACATGAGAGAAAATTATTTTAATTTGGTTCAGTATATAAATGATATTACATGATTAAATTTTCACATCAAATTAAAACTATATGTACTTTTCCTTCTCCTTAGACCTGTGTGCGAGACAGAGCCGTTCTTTCTATCTTGGCTGTTCGGAATATCAGCACAGAGTTGGCTCAGCAGGCTGTGGATGAAGTTTTTGAATCCTGTTTCAATGACCATGAGCCTTTTGGCAGGATTCCTCATGATAAGACTTATGCAAGATATGCTCGCAGAGACTTTCAGAACCGTGATCGGTATTACTCAAACATATGAAAGAATAACATATTACTGAGCATCAGTGATCATGAAGAAACGTGATTCTTAAGTACATAAATGTGTAAAATGTAAATGATCAATCAGATGCAGATAAAAATGCATGCTTTTTATCAAAAGATGCTGATTTTAGCATATGACTACAAAAAAGAAATATGGCAAAAATAAAGTCTTTAAACTCAAAGGCAAAAATTGTATCTTTATAGCTAATTACTTGGTAAATACGGTAAATAAATGCCAGTTTTGTATTTTCTACATTGTACTTGTATTTTTAATGCTTTATTTAGTATTATTATTCTTATTATATGAGATTATATGATTATGAAATCTATAAAGCATGACCTTACATAAGGTATGGGGTGATCAAAGTTAATATTTGTGTGGAAGGTAAAGACATATGGACTGATCTCATTATAGCGCCTTCATTGAGATGTCATGATCAAAATGCAAAGAATGAAAATTGGGAATAATTCACTCAAAGGTCAGTGTCATTTTCTCCATTCACTGAATGTGAGGGACCATATGACTTAATTTTCTGGGACAGTCCTGATTGGATTTTTTTTAATGGACCCTGTCCTCAATTGTCAGGGAGCTGGACTCTGATGGTCAGTTGGCTGCTTTGGATCATAGTCGTGCAACACGGTGGGTAGCCATTGCTACTGCCTGGCCCTATTGCGACAGGCTCCTCCCCTTCTAGCCGAAGTAACTGGGGGCTTAATTTGCTGCTGCCCTTTTCCTCGATGGTTCCTTTTTCCAGGGGCCAGAGATTGAAGACATTCAAATGTAATCTCATCAGGGAGCTGGACTCTGATGGTCAGTTGGCTGCTTTGGATCACAGTCGAGCAACACGGTGGGTAGCCATTGCTACTGCCTGTCCCTATTGCGACAGGCTCCTCCCCTTCTAGCCGAAGTAACTGGGGGCTTAATTTGCTGCTGCCCTTTTCCTCGATGGTTCCTTTTTCCAGGGGCCAGAGGTTGAAGACATTCAAATGTAATCTCATGGTAATGGAATACATGTGACTTGAAAGCAAAGGGGGACTACCTGGGTGAAGGAGGGGAACAGAGGGAGGGCAGTAGGGGAGGGGGACAATTTAGAGCAAAGTATGATGGTACACACGTGTGGAAATGCCTTAATGACCAGAGGCCAGAAGAGGGTGTGGGAGGATCCTCTGGAGTTGGAGTTACAGGCAATTGTAAGTTGCCTGATATGGGTGGGTGTTGGGGCTGGGATCCAAATTTGGGTCCTTTGGAAGAGCAGCAAGTGCTCTTAACCTCTGAGCCATTTCTCCAGCCCCAAGACTTAATTTTATATTTACTACGCCGAATTTTTTTTTTTTTTGAGACAGAGTCTCACTATATTGCCCAAGCTGGCCTTGAACTCCTAGGTTCAAGTTATCCTCTACTTCAGCCTTCTGAGGAACCTGGCACTGCAGGCAGATACCACTGTGCCTTGTTCAGGATGGAAACTTTAAACAGCTGTCAGAGATGGTCACAGAACTGAGGAAGGATGGGAGAAAGTCAAGAAAATGACGTGAACAAAATGGGAATATAAATGGAGAAAACAGAAAAGAAACAAGACAGACTCCAAAGCTGAGAAGCGCAGTAACATTCTCGAGGGGATCTGAGGGGCAGGTTTGAGAAGGCAGAAGAATCTGTAAACCTAAAGACAGAGTAATGGAAATGAATGCTTCTAAGGGACAGGGAGAAAGGCTGAAGAAAAGTGACCTGGTGTGATGACTCACACCTGTGATCCTAGCATTTGGGGACTGAGACAGGAAGGCTGCTGTGAATTGAGGCCAGGCTGGACTACAAAGTAAAACCGTGCTTGGGATGGGGGTGGGGGGCAGAATTGATTGGACTCATGGGACACCACCAAAAGGTTGAACATACATACTGTTGGGGTCCCAGCAAAGGAAGGTACACAGGATATTTGAAGAGATAATGGCCGAAAAGTTCCTGAATCTGCTGCATATTAATGGTCAAGACACTCAGTTTCATGTAGGGGAACTCAAAGAAATTCACATTAAGATCTATTATAACCAACCTGTACAAAAGACAAAGAGGGTGATCAATGCAGCAGCGGGGGGTAGTTCACACAGGGAATCTTCAAGATCAGAAGCAGAATTCCCATCAGAAACTTTTTCCCCTATTTTTCATTTTATTTTGTGAGACAAGGTCTCATGTAGCCCAGGCTGATTTCAAACTTCTGAGCCTCTTGCTTTCATCTCTCCAATTCTGAGATTACAAGTGTGCACCACCACACTTGGTTTATGCAGTGTGGAGGATCGGTGTGGAGTGCCCAGGCTTCCTGCATGCTAGGTGAGCACTCTAGCAACTGAACTACATCCCTCAGAAACTTTTGAGGACAAGAGAGTGGGCTAAGTTGTAAAGAAAGAAGCTGTTGACCAACAATTCTGTATCTGACAAAACTCTTCTTCATAAGGGGCTGGAGAGATGGCTCAGCGGTTAAGAGCACTGACTGCTCTTGGAGACAACCCGGGTTTGATTCCCAGCACCCACATGGTGGTTAAGAACCATCCTTAACTCCAGTTCCAGGGGAATCTCACGTCCTTGTCTGACCTCTGGTGGTGTTACATGACATGGGTGCACTCACATACATGCAGGCAATGCACTCATACACATAAAATATTAAAATAAGGGGAAATAAAATATTCTCAAAAACCAATGTGGGATGAGGGGCCAGTGAGATGGCTCAGCAGGTAAGGCCACTTGCTGCCATGCCTGATGACCTGAGTTCCACTCTGGGGCACAAATGGAAGAAGGGGAGTTTCCATTCCTGCAGGTTGTCCTCTGACCTCCATACACACACACACACACACACACACACACACAATAAATAAACGTAATAAAAGGGATAATCCCAGATTTAAAAAGCTAGGTTTGTCATTCTAGAGCTGCACTGCAAGAAATGCTGAAAGGAGCCCGCAGTTAAAATCAAAGGACACTAAGTAGCGATTAAACTCTGTGAAGAAATAAAGATCTCAGCTAAGGTTAAGTCATGGGCAATACAAAGTGAATCTTGGGGCTGGAGAGAGGGCTCAGCAATTTTCCCCAGCACCCTCACTGGGCGGCTCAGAGCTGCCTGTAACTCCAGCTCCAGGAGGAGACCTCTGGCCTCCTTGGGTATCCATACAGGTGCACACCCACACACA